TGATTATTGCATCTTCTTTAGAAAGTAGGACTGTGCTCTGTATTTGTTGTTGTTCAGTTGTTTCAGTCATTTCTGACTCTTCATGACCCTGTGAACCCATGTGGTTTGCTTGCAAATATACTGCAGTGGTTTGTCATTTCCTTCTGTATTTTTATGTAATCAAAATTATATATTTTACATTTTTAATGCTCTCTATACTTTTGTTGGTCCTAAATTCTTTTCATACCCATAAATCTAACAGATAAACTATTCCATGCTCTCTTAATTTGCTTATGGTATCACCCTTTAAGTGTAAATCATGTACCCATTTTGACCTTATTTTGGTATACAGTGTGAGAAGTTGGTCTATACCTAGTTAATTCAGAAATTAAGTGACTTGTCCGAGGTCACACAACTGGGAAGTTTCTGAGTCTGAATTTGAACTCAGGGCTTCCTGACTCCAAGGCCAGCATTCTGAACACTGTGCTACCTAGCTGCCAGTGCTCTATAGAGTAGAAGATTAACAAATGTGTGTTGAATTTCTTTGAACTTCATCTAATCTGGAACTGATTCTCCTATTATGAAAGTATTGAGGTCACCTTCAAGTAGCTACAGAATCTCTTTGCAGAAGAGAACCTTGGACAGAGCCTTGGTGGATACCCATAGTTAACAGGCCTATGGTGTTTTGGAAATCTTAAGGGGTTATGTCAAATTTTACTGTTATGTTAAAATTTAGTGAAATGAATGAATGAATGATTTAGAGTCTAACAAGTTACATTAGTGTGGAATAGTAGAAACTGCAGAAACTTGATTCATAATCCCAACTCTCAATATGAGTTTGAGTAATCTACTTCTCCTCCCTAGGTCTTAGTCTCCTCATCTGTAAAATGAGAGGGTTGGATTGCATTTACTTTGAGGGTACCTGCAGCTCTAAATCTGATGATTTTATAACTTGCTTAAAAGAAGTATTTTTATGTCCAGAAAAAAAATAATTACTACTTTAAATCTCAGATAGCCAAGTAAAGGAGATAATATCCTAACAGATGATGAATTTATCCTAGATGACTATATATATAGCCAATAACTTAACTGTTTTTTTTTCTGTCAAATTGGTCTTAATCATTTGATTTCATGGTAGCCCTCTGAACAATATAGCTCTACATCCTTAGACTGGTTAAGTTGCCAAGATGAGTCAAAGTATAGGAATGGTGATCTTACATTTAGGCATGACTGGAGTTGGCTGTTTAGGAGCCCAGTCTTTGGTTGTATTGCTTGAAAAATGGAGATCTTAATACAGAAAGCCAGGGACCAAGCTGCTTATCTTTGGAGGAATTATCCTTTTCATAAATTTGGATCTGGAAAGGACCTTAGAGGTCATTTCACCCAATACCATCTTGCTTGACCTAACAGGATACCATTTAGTTCAGCCTGTTACCTCTTAATGAGTTGGAATGATTAACTGATCTTTTGTAACCCTAATGATGCTTTTGCTCAGCCATTTTCAGTCCTGCCTGACTCCTCATGACCCCACTTAGGGTTTTCTTGGCAAGGATACTAGAATGGTTTACCATTTCCTTCTCCAGCTCATTTTATAGATTAGGAACTGAGGCAAACAGGGTTAAATAACTTGCCCAGGGTCACACAGCTAATAAATGTCTGAGGTCAGATTTGAACTTAGGAATATTACTCTTCCTAAATCCAGGCTCAGCACTCTATTCACTGTACCACCTAGTTGCCCCTCTAACCTTAATCGGTAGGGCAAGTTATCGAAGCCTATCATTGTCATCTCTGTTCCCACCTCACTAGCCTTGCTGCTCCCTTCCTTCCTTCCTTTCCCAAGCCCAAAGACTTCAGAGCTACTCCAGCCCAACTTTCTTCCAATTCATGTATTCTGTCTACAATATCCTCGAAAAGTAGTTATCTGAAATCAGTTCAGAATCACCATCACCTCCTCAAAATGCCCATTCTCTTATTCCACTCCACTTTCTTTTTTTAAATTTATTTTTAGTTTTCAACAATCATTTCAATAAGCTTTTGAGTTTCAAATTGTCTCCCCCTCCCTCCCCAAGATGGCATGCAATCCGATATAGGCTCTATATACACATTTCTATTAAACATATTTTCACATTACTGATGTTGTAAGGAAGAATTAGAACCAATAGGAGGAACCACCAGAAAGAGGAAACAAAGCACAACAGAAGAACAAAATAGCAAATAATATGCTTCTATCTGCATTCAAACTCCATAGTTTTTTCTCTGGATGTGGATAGCATTTTCCATCATGAGACTTTTGGAGATGTCTTAGATCCTTGCATTGCTGAGAAGGACTAAGTCTATCAAAGTTAGTCATTGTGCAATGTGATTGTTACTGTGTACAACATTCTTCTGGTTCTGCTCACTTCACTCAACATCAATCCATACAGGTCTTTGCCAGATTTTCTGCAGTTCATTTGCTCATCATTTCTTATAGCACAATAATATTCCATTACATTCATATACCACAACTTATTCAGTCATTCCCCAATTGATGGGCATCCCCTCAATTTCCAATTCTTTGCCACCACAGAAGGAACTGCTATAAATATTTTTGTACATGTGGCTCCTTTTCCCATTTTTATGATCTCTTTGAGATACAGCCGTAGAAGTGCCATTGCTGGGTCAAAGGGTATGCACCGTTTTATAGTCCTTTGGGCTCAGTTCCAAATTGTTCTCCAAAATGGTTGGATCAATTCACAACTCAAACAACACTGCATTAATGTTCCAATTTTCCCACATCTTCTCCAACATTTATCAATTTGTCACTTCCCTGTTCTGTCATGTTAGCCAATCTGATAGGTGTGATGTGGTACCTCAGGGTTGTTCTGATTTGCAATTCTCTAATCGATAGTGATTTAGAGCATATTTTTAATATGACTAGAGATAGCTTTAATTTCTTCATCTGAAAACTGCCAGCCCATTCCACTTTCAAAACAAGCTCTGAAAACCTCCATTCACACTAAGGTATAAATAACTGACAATAATAATCACCCAGCATGATTTGTATTTTATCTGGGATTGTGGGATTCTGAGGAAATGGGTTTAAATCCTGTCTATACCACTTGGGACTTATGTGACCTTGGGCCAGGCACTTTACTTCTCAGCCTCAATTTCTTCATCTGTAAAATGAGAAGATGGAATTATATGACATATATGGGCCCTTCTAGCTCTCAGTCAATGACCCCAAAGCCAGCATGGTGCTTTGGATAAAGATCTGGCCTCTAAAGCAGGAGTACCTATTCCTGTCCAGGAGATAGATTGATTTTTTTTGATCCCAAGTAAGTTATTTAAATTCTAAGTTATGTAAACAACTTGCTAAGATTATAAATAGCAGAAAAGGCTTTGACCTGCACTGGGAGAGGTAATTTCCTTAACTGGGAATTCCTAAGAACAACAAAATCTCAGGTCTATTTCCTATCTCTATGCTCTTTAAAGCATTGAGCCTCAAATGTGGAATTTCAGTATATATAGTATATAAGGAAATTGTGGGACAAAGGATATTGTAAAATGTAAGACCAGCTCATCCTGAAAGCCCCTTATAGCATGATCCCCCCTTAAAGAGAAACAGTTGCAACACAACCTGGGGCTTATCTGTTCTTTGAACTTATAGTATGGTACACGCTTGACTATCCAGGTAACAGCCAACATTGGAATGTGCCCTACTATTTGAAAGACAGATTGGTGCAGTAGATAGAGTGTTGCACTTGGACTCAGAAAGAGCTAGGTTAGAATGCTATACCTGACACTTATTAGTCATGTGACCCTGGACAAATATCTTAAATTCTCAGTACTAAGTGTCCTCTACATGTTGAAAAATAAGCATGAGGGAGCACCTTCCTGAAAGAGTTGTTGTAAGGTCCAAATGAGACATTGTATATCAAACATCATAGAAATTTTAGTTATAATTATGATCACAAGTATGAATTCAGGCAATTGAGGCTGTAGGATTACCCCCCCCCTTGAAGGAATGAGTGATTTGGAGGTACAGTACTACTTAAGTGATACTAGTTAGAATAAAATGATCTATAAGATTCTTCCAGCTATGATCCTGTGATATTTAACCAGGATGGAGAAGATGATGCTATGAGAAAAGATCAAAGAAACACATTCAGTCTAGATGAGGGAAGACTTAGTGGGGAAATCATGGCAGTTCCTAATATTTCATGAGACAGTAAGTGTAGAGCAAGAAGGACCTTAGAAACCATCTAGTTCTCACTTTTCATTTTACATATGAAGAAAATGATGTCCAGGAAAGTTAGGTGTGTCCAAGATGACATAGGTAGTAAGCAGTCAAGATGGGTTTCAAATTCAGGTCTTCTGAAACAAGATCCTTATCTCCTTCCACTATAAAAGGGCTGTCATACGGAAGAGGGTTTAGGCGTGTTCTGCCTATTCTCTCAGGGCAAAATTAGGAACAATGAGTAGAAATTACAGAGAGACTCACTGTAAAGTTTCTGAATGAATAATTAAATGCATCATCTAAAAGTAGTATGGGTTATCTTAGGGTCTTGAAAAATGATGGTTCCCCTATCCCTACAAATCTGAATGACAACTTGTTAGACATGTGAATCATATTCTTTTTCTAGTTTGACTTTCACCCAATGGCCTCTAAGATCATTTTTAAATCTGATGGTGGTCTTTCATGTTCTTTGGGTCTGACCATCACCCAATGGTCACTATTTCCATCCCCCTTTTTATTTCATTTTGGATAACTATAGTTTGAATAAAGTATTTAAAAGTCTAACTTACAATATGCAATGATCAATGACTTTTTTTTTAAAGGAAGAGGACATGGGGCAATTCAATTTTAAATGATTCTATTCAGCCAGTGCTTGCCTCTGCAGCCATGCCAGTGTGCAGAGAGACAGAAGGTCCCTTTCCTGGGAAGGTATTAAATTCAATAAAACCCCATGATGTGGGCAGCTGCTGGCATCCTTAATAAGCCCTTAATAAGCCTGTCTCACCCTCTTCCTCTCTGTCTGCAGACTCCTGAAGAATTAGAAGATGATTCAGACTTTGAGCAGGAAGACTATGACGTTCGCAGCCGGACCAGTGTGCAGACTGAGGATGACCAGCTCATTGCTGGACAGAGTGCACGGGTAAGTAAAAAGCCAAGACCTTGACCCACTCTTGAAGGACTTTTAGGAAAAATGCTATATTCTCAATGGCAAGCCGTCCTGATCTCTCAGAGATCTCTTGGCTGGGTACAGATGATACCACAATGTTTGGGTTTCTTTCAATCATTCATTTTTTTTTCCCCAATTGAGATAAAGAACACTTTCAAACACGGGGAATTAATAAAAGTTAAATAGAACTGTCAATCAATACAACATATTCTTATACTCCTAAAATTTTAATGGGATAAATTATCTCAATCTCTAGTTATTCTAAGTAACACGGGAACAGGAGTAGAGTTAGCACTGTGTCCCACCCATTGCCATCATCCTTTGTATATCCATTGTACCAGTATTACATGTAAGAGCAGCTTCATTGAATATAATGTAACTCAAATGTGATTGAGTTGTAGATATGCTAAGGCTCTCTGATGATATTTGTATTAAAAGGGATAATGTTCAAATGATGAATGCCTATTTGGTTTACTCTTAAAGGAGGACTGTGTCTGCAATGGGCAGGCTTGATTGATTGCTAATTGATTGATTATAGTGATGGACTGGAGACTGGAAGGTTGGAGACTATTGGAAAGCAGGTGAAGGAGACAGTGGCTGTAACGGCCCTGATTTTAGAGTCAGAGGAGATTTCAATTTATTTCTCTGATGCTTACTATCTGGGAGATCTTGGGCAAGACACAACATCTCAGAACCTTAGTTTCATCATGTGAAGTGAGGGGTTAGGCTAGATGACCTCTGAGGTTCATTCCAGTTTGACATTTATGCTCCTATAAACTCAGGTTCTTGAAAGTATGTAGTGAAGGCAGGATAGATTGACATTTAGAGAGTTGGGGTGACTCAGAGAAGCTGAGAAAAGACCTATTGAGCTCAGAAAAGACAGAAAAATTCTGAAGCAGAGTCAAGAGATGATGCAAAGTTGAGGTTTGGAGGTTTTGGGGGGAGAAATTTAAAAGACTTGAAACTGGTGTGCTCCTGGGTTCAAGATTTAAAGGACTTGCTTCATCACCAATTAAGTTTTATTTTTTTACATTTTTATTTAAAGTTTTTAGTTCCGAATTCCATCTCTCCCTCCCTTCTCTCTCCCCTCCATGAGACAGTAAGCAATCAGATATATGTTATACATGTGAAATTATGTAAAATATTTCCATATTAGTCATTTTGTACAAGAAGACTCAGATAAAAGAAAAAAAGTGAAAGAAAGGAAGTGAAAAATAGTATGCTTCAGTCTGTATTCAAACAGTATCGATTCTTATTCTGGAGGCAGATAGTATGCTTCATCATTAATCCTTTGGGATTGTCTCAGATCATTGTATTGCTGAGAATAGCCAAGTAAGTCATTCACAGTTCTTCATCAAACAATATTACACAAAAAACTTTTTTTATTGTTATATAATCAAAATTATATATTTTAAATTTTAATATTCTCCATACCTTCTTTGGTTCTAAATTCTTCTCATATCCATAAATCTGACAGATAAATTATTCCATGATCTCTTAATTTGCTTATGGTATCACCTTTTAAGTGTAAATCATGTACCCATTTGACTTTATTTTGGTATACCTTGTGAGATGTTGGTCTATACCTAGTTTCTGTCATATTGTTTTCCAATTTTCCCAGCAGTTGAGTGTGTCATATACTAAATTACCATGGTCATTTATTATAATGTAATTTGTAGCTAATATGTTCCACTATATGTTCCACTGATCTACTAGTCAATTTCTTACCCAATACCAATCTCCTTACTCTATCTGTACCTTAATAATGGATGTCCCTTATAGTGTCTTTTCTCAACTCTACTTCCTTGTAGGAGATGCTGTTCCTCCTCAGCTCTTCTTCCTGAGTTAGGTTACCCTGACTTCCTTCAAGTCTCCCTCCAAAAAAAGATCTGAATTTATGTAGGGCAGGAACTGGTTTTCCCTTTTATTGTACCCTAACACTTAATTGAGTCTTAATAAATGCTTACTGAGTTGACCTGACTCCAGTCTGCTACAGTACATGACTCACACACTGTCAATATGCCACTCTAACCTATTCCCTTCCTAATGGACCCCCAATTCCTGCCATCTAGCATTTCCATACTTGATGAAAACTACATGTCCTTACCATCACTTCCCATCTGTTTGTTCCTATTTGGATCATTTCCACTTCTTCTCAATCCCAAGCCAACTGTTCTTCATTCTCACAGCCTGTGCCCATTGGAAAACCTTCCTGTATTCTGAACAAGCTCCTTTACATCCCTAAACTGTTCTATCAACTCTATTTCTGCTTCACTTGGAGTCCCTAGACCCCTACAGCCTTCTCATTGGTGGCCTCTTTTCCTTTCATTCTTCCTAATTTGCAGAATAAGGATAAGTGATTTCTTTGTGCCCAGTAACCTTTCTTCCTTCCCTTTTAAATATAGGCAGCATCCTAATTCTTTGATATCTCTGTCCTTCTACAGACCTCTGAGTCATTCATCATCCTCATTCATTTTGAGGCTACATGGTACCTTGATTGGAGTCAGAGCATCTAGGTTCAGATATTACTTCTGCTGCTTAATATCCATGTGACCATAGTAAAAATCATTTAACCTGTCAGGATCTCAGTCTCCACATTTGTAAAAAAAAGTTGCATTAGATAGTATCTAAGGTGCCTTCCAATTCTTAAGCTATGCTTCTATTACTCTATGACATTCCCTGGCCCATAGTCTTCCTGTTCAAATAAAATGAAATAACTTTCAGATCAAAAAAAATAATATATGCAAAGAGTTTTGCAAACTTTATAGCACCATCTAAGTGGTAGTTATTAATATTGTTAGTTTTTTTATTATCATTGATGATAACAACAACAGCAATTTCTCCCCTCCTTGCTATACTGACTGGCCCTAGAAACTGGACCATACTTTACCTTCAGATCCCATCCAGAAACTTTACCATTCTTATCACCTGCCTACTGGCATACACATCCGGAATTGAATTTTTAGAGGACACATAACCTAATGACAAATGAAACCACAAACAGCCTTCAGAAATAGCCTCCTAGCTAGATATGATCACAGAATGAGAGCTGGGAAATACTAGAGAGGCCATCTATCCCATATTCCTAGTTTTACATATAAAGGAATTGATCCCCAGAGAAGTGAAGAGATTTACCCAAGGTCACACACATCATAATGATAGCTCACATTTTCATAACATTTTAAAGGTTACAAAGCATTTTGCCCATATTATTTCAGTTCTCACTACAATCTGATAAGGTTGTCATTATTATCTACATTATCTGAATTCTACAGATTAGGAAACTGAGACTCAGTGAGATGAAGGGAACTCTCCAGGGTCACACAAAAATGGAATTTGAATACAGATCCTCTGACTCCAAGGTCAAGGAAGGCTTTTTACAGTATACCTTGCTGTCTCTCCATGACAGAAAATTAAAAACTAGAAAGTTGATTCAAATGAGGACTTTCTTGGGGCTACAACTGAATAACAAGAAAACAACCAATCTGCTGAGTCAGTCTAGTGGAAACCTTCATTTAAAAGAATCGTTTGCTGTCTTCACAAAGGGGCAATTTGGTTAATTCATTCAGAAGACCAAATCAATTCACGAAAGGGGGAAAAAAAGAGGAGGGGAGTTGCAGAAAGGGCTGTACAAGATCACATGATACTGAACAAACTGATGGTTGGATTGACTCCATTGAGCTGTTGTTTGGATGTACTGACCAGTCAATTCTGGCTACACCCAGACATAGTTTCACAGCCTTGATTATTCAAGGAAAAGACATGAAATTTTTTTCAAACATTTTGTGACTATCATTAGGACATTAATATCACATAGAAGAAATAGTACTGTATTAGGAGTCAAGAAAATCAAAATCTTAGCTCTCTTACTACCTGTATAATATTAGGCACCCCAATTAACTTCTCTGAACTTTAGTTATTGCATCCATAAAATGGAAGTGAAGTGTGTTGGACTGAATTATATCTTCTGGTTCAAAATTCTATGATGTTGCCAAGGGCTTTGCTTCATTCCACTATAAAAACAAATAAATAATGCCCCTGATTGTTTGTATGAGGTCCATATTACCCACATCACACAGTAATTCAATTCAATTTAATTCAATGAGTCCAATGCAATGCAATGGAATTGCAACAAGAATTTATTAAATGTTAACCATATGCCATGCACCATGCCTGGCACTGAGGACATGATAAAAAATAAAAAGCAATACAGAGCCAAAAAACAAAAGTAAAACTCAGTCGTTGCCTTAAGGAGTTTATATTCCATCATCTATGGCCAAGGTTGGCAACTCGATCCAGATGCTGGTAGTGTTTCATAGTCATTCATGATTTTCTATCCCTTGAATAGTTTTTAGCTGAATATAATGCCACCAAAAGGGATCGAAGGAGCAGAATTCCAAATTTGCTGAGTTGCTTTGAATAGCTTTGAGGTCCTTCATGTGGTCTGTGTAATTAACTTGCAACAGAAGGGATTTGTTATTGAGTCAGCCTAATTTTAGCCATGCAATTATATCGCATCAAACCAGAGATGGGGGATTGGTACTGTTAAGTTGGAAATAAAACGATGCTTTAATTATTTAGAGGGACACATGAGCTCAAAGACGAACTCTTTGATCGGGGAGTTAGATTGACTTGGATAAAATTGTGAAGTTGGTACAATGTGCCTATGGCATTGACTTTTTTATCAACCTTCTCTGAACTCTTTTCGCTTTTATTCCCAAAGCAGCATTTCTGTTTCCCATTTCTACTTGACCCCACTCTTAGATGCTAATTGATAGTGTTAATACATTGTCCTTCTCAGGGTAAAAAAAAAAAAAGTACATTTAAATGGGAAACTTCAAAATCATACTTGTGGGAGGTGCCAAACTCATACGATCAAAGGCTTAGAGATTTAAGGGAGCTTAAAGGTTATGTAGCCCAACCTGGGGCAGTTAGGTGGCACAGTGGATAGAGTGCTGGGCTCAGAGTCAAGA